TCGTTACACTCTCGTTCAGATCTCAAACGTTTCTGGTTTCATCATGTTTGTTGTTGTTCTCGAGTCTCACTTAAACATCAAATAACTGGCAACTCAAGGATCTTCATTACATGGTTAGTCAAACAGATTCTCCTATGGTTTTCACAGGAAAACTCCTCCCACATATGAAATGATGGAATGATCAATGAAACAGACTATTCTGACCAACCACCTCGGATTCCCTCACATGTTACCTGGCTATTCCATTACTCAACACAATAACTTCCTACTTCCATCCTAAAAAACATCCTTCGAGAAGCCATCACCTCCTACTACTTTCCATCGATTCACGTAAGAAACAGGCGTCTCAACTTCGAGGAGAGTCAGACGACTGATACCTGTGTCGCATTAGGGTTTCGACTGGATAATATGTGCTGTACAACTGAGTCACTGCTGTGGGCTAGTCGACTTGTGCTTCAAATTCCTCCGTTCAGAGTTCTACCTGCCTATCGTGAGAGGTCATCCACGTCCTATCCCTTCCGGTGACGGTTTCACTAATCATCGTCCCCTGTTAGCCAATATCCTTAATAAGCCAAAATAGTTGCTGGTTATTACCTAATGCTGATGCCTTCTCCTTCTCCTTCTCTCTCGCTTTCACTTTCACTTTCGCTCTCACTTTCACTTTTGCCACTCACCAATGTTCACCATCATTGAGAAGAGTGTTGGTCAATTCACCTTTGAGTTGCTTTCGCTGTCGCCCTTCATCGTGGTCAGAGCCAGGTGAAATGAGTGTTCTCACACTGATCAGTTTGTATGAGATGACGGAAATCCACTGACTGTTGGTAACTTTCAGATGTAGATTACGTCTCTTTGGCGTTGGCATAATCAAATCCCAATCCGATTACCTGTCAAATGCTGTACTTGAGAGGCTTCAATCGGGTATATTCCATCGCCTATGGGGTTATACATATATTTTTCTTCCAGGTACCTTAAGGAAGGAATAGCTTTCCATGGTGTGGGCAACCATAAAGGTGTTGACTGCCCGCACGCCTCCGTAGTACACAACACCCAATCAGACATAACCTATCCTCTCGAACTCAGTCTCCTCCTTAACCTCGACCTCCTGATATGGATATCAGGCCTGTTACGCCTTCCTGAACACCTCTCATTCTGCAACCATTGGCAACGATGAAAACCATCGAAACCTCATTCCCAGTCTCGTGAGATCCTGTCATCGATTTCATGTAGGAAACTTCAACGTCCTTACTCTATGCCAAATCGGGCAGCTAGCACCACTCCACGGAACTCTGGGATGTGTGGGCTTGGATGTCGAATGTGTCTCTGAGTCATGCATACAGCATGTGAGTGTGATAAATAAGATTGACATCACTTGACCAATGTGTTGGATTATCAAAATTCACCTCTTATGAATGAATATCTGGGTATGCAGTGACTGTCTCTCGTGGAGTGGTTTGTGTAGGCATGGATTGAATTGTAGGTGAGAAAGTGCGCGTGTCGACTGTATGGAAGTGAAGAGGCATGTATGTGGTGTTGGAGTGAATGGGTGTGTGGGAACTAGGGAGTGTGGTGAGAGTAGGCGATGCCTATTTGTAATCTCCGGCTTGGCACGTACCGATTTCATTTCGGATGATTGAAGGAAGGAACAGCATGTATCGTTTGTCTTATATCAGTGAAAGCCATGCGAGACAATGTCTCTCATAATGCTTGTACTTATTTGAGCTGGTCACAAACAAGTGGTTATCAGAGCGAAATTGGAGCAGTAGTCACCGTAGTTACCTCCAGGATGCCTTTCCAAATGGTTCGATTTCTTTAATTGAGCGTTTATGTCGCCTGCTTTAAATCCTGATATTGACAGCCTGTGATTGCCATTCTAACTTTAGTCCGTTGGCGTATAGGTAAAGGTCGTGAAAACAGTATCATCAGTCCCTGAAGTAATTGACTGTTAGTGTTAGTCGTGTTAGGAGATGTTGGCTCCCCGGCTAGAGTCAGGGTGACAACAAAAACAATTGATTGAAGACTGTAGATAACATCATTGGGAATCTTTATTATTGGTTTAAGTGCATCCACACATTACCTTCATCTTAATATAACTACTGGATTTTAATATTCTCTTTTTTCACAAATTCCCACCACTTTTTACAGTTTTCTTCCATTTCCCTTTACTTTTCATTGTGATAAGTGATTACTTAACATGTTAGTTGGTTAGAGGCAATCGACAGGAAGCCCTGGACCAACTAATATCTAATGTGCACTGCGATGCTAAGCCTCGTAGCTTGGTTGCCACATTAAAAATATGATAGATAGGATTCAGTCTGCACTCAGGACTAGATGACATGGAATTGGTTGCACTCCCGTTGGAGAACAGAAGACAACTCGACGAGAGAATGTTTATTATGAACAATTGGAATGGTAGTGGTTACATATGGTACTCCTTGCACTAACGCAGCCATTTGCAAATGTCTTCGTTTCCTCTCCTCTGTCTTGATTTGCTCTTGGCAGAAACCTTACCCATTGCCGGTAATTCCCTATGATTCCTGCCACCCTCTCGATATATACTACTTATATCCGTTGTTATCAGTAACGCCCACTACACCGTGACCGATCAATACAGATTGGTTGAAATGCTGATATACGGTGCGCCAACATGAACTGTTATGCAGTAATGCCAGGTCCTGTGTTTATTATCGTCTGTCTTTCTGTCTACCTCATATACTGAGCTAAGACTGTCTAAACTGGTTCGGGTGCCATTTTTATCGTGTAGTGTTTTTAATTACCTTTTTTCGTTTTCCTGCAACTAAAACCAATAGTTAGTTGGACACTTTGGTCAATTCGATATTATTTTTTTCTACATATCGTTAGACTGTGTATCTACGTTTCATCATTTGGCTCGGTCTGATAAACAAATAATGCAGGTTGGTTCTGTGTTCGTGTGTCTGTATACCTGTAATATGTGTGTTTTTTGGTGCGTAGGTCTGACACATTAAGGTGCTAGTGGACAAATGTAAGAGAAAATGAAATGAAATCGTATCCTGATTTAAATTGCTAATTACTATCGAATCAATAGTTGTGTTACTTGTTTTCTTTCCAAATTATATGGCCTTATTTATGACTTGTAATATATGAGTATTGACCAGAGTGATTATTGCCAAAGTTATTTGTGATTGTTGGTGTTGTCTCCTCAAGGACATTATATATTTAAGTATACAAGCTGATTTCAAAGCAATTTAACATGACTTTCTATAGTGGCTTCATACTTTTCAACCAATCACGTGTGCATCATTTCATCTATTCCTGTTATATAATAATAATAATAATAATAATAATAATAATAATAATAATAATAATAATAATGAATACCGGGTGGTGATTGAAGGTGAAATGGAAATTTAGACCGTGGCCAAATTCGAACCAGCGACCACCGAGTTTCCGACCCGATGCTCTGCCAATTGATCTACGAGGTCCGAGGGCTGACCTCACTTTTATTCCACTTCAATCACCATGGATTTTGCCCGACTACCACTGACTAAGAAGCTAGTATGAATACGATCAAGCGGTGTTAACACGTCACAAATTCACATGGTAGTCGGGAAAAACCCTTGGTGATTGAAGTGGAATAAAAGTGTGGTCAGCAGTCGGACCTCGTAGCTCAGTTGGTAGAGCATCAGGCCGGAAACCCAATGGTTACTGGTTTGAATTTCGCCGTGGTACAGATTTCACCTTCAATCATCGCCCAGTATGAATACTAGTTTGTCAAAGTATGGCTCTCTCAGATAGTCAAAATAATAATAATAATAATAATTGTTATTAAGATGTACAATTAGGCAGATCGTGTAATGAATATGTAGATGGATATTCAGTGACTTTGGTTTATCGAAGAGGGAGAGAAATCAGTCAAAATTTCCTTACTGATCCACCAAGTACAGACAGACCACCAAGTTAAAGACGAGTTGGGATAAATGAGCAGGTATCACTGGTCGTAATGTTACATGAAACTCGAGGTTGAGTGCTTGCTATCGACTTAAATTATGATGTGTTATGTCCCGTGGACATTACGTGGTATAGTCTGGTTATACATTCTCTTATATCAATAAAAAAATTAGATTTCCTAGTACATGGTAAAGGCATTCTTTAAGGTGTAGTACTGAGAAAAATGGGAATCAGCAGACCTATTGTTGTGAACAAAATCTGAAGGAAAAACTATCTTTCAGATGACTAAAAATTGACTCAATAATCAATCACAACAGTACCCAAGGTTAAAACTGTAGTTGAGTGCGTTGACCACTTCAATTACTTAGGAAGTCAGATCAGTGACCGACTGGATCTCTGCACGGATATGAATGGCTTGATTGACTTTTACTAACTTATGCCATTTATAACTCCGCCGCGATATTCACTTGTTGGGTTTCAGATTGTTCTGTTCTTCTCTATCGCTGTAAAATATGGGCACTGAAGATAGAGGACATGAGTGTAGGCTTAAGTTGTCCGACTACCGTCGCCTTCGTAGCATAGGCTGTGTCCTGGTGTAATCATATCAACTATTTGTTTGGTCATTGCTATTTGTATACTGTTATGTGGACTTGGATCAACGGACATGACTGGACAATGTGCTGTCCACATTAATAATCATCACTTACTCTGACTGGTAGACGTTTTCTGCATATGTTCAAATTAGGCAGATTAAGGCCATAGTGCAGGGCGTAAAGTCGGTGACTGTCAACGTCAGTATCATTACTCTAGTAGTGATAAACCCAAGTTGTCTCTGTCACCGATTCTCTGAGTTTATTTTGATTGACTGTAGATTACAGTTATCTTTTTTATTACTATGTGTATATATACGTGTCCTAATATGCCTAATAGTTACTATGTTCCAATTCTTTCCTATTTTCATCTATGCTGATGAAGGAAATTCTAAGTCAGGAATACGTAGGATAGACTACTTTAAGTATGCTTTCATATAATAATATTTCCTTGTTTAAAATAGTATTCTGTAGCGTTTAATAATGGTTCATTGTTCTGCTGTATGGTTGGATAATGATCTAGAAAGTTTAAAATCCATTTGGATGGATAAAGACACGTTAAGCCAAAATTTACACATTTCAGCCACTACTTGTTATTATATTATTATTATTTGTCCATTGGGTTCCTAATGGAACATAGGACTTCAGTAGCACGTCTCCAATGCGCTCTGTTCTCTGAAATCTTTTGAACCTGGCTCCACGACAGCCCAGAAGCTCTCATTTCCTCCTCGTACGATCTCCTCCATGTCACCCTCAGCTGCGACGCCCAACTCGTCGCTTCCTATCTGGGTTCCACTCGAGCAACTGGCCTGACGCGTGATGTCCCCACTCGGCGTTCCCAGTGTATGCTCAATCCATCTCCACTTCCTTCTACATATTTGTTCAGCGATGGCTTCTTGGTTGGTTCGTTGCCCAGCCAGAGTTCCTTGTTGCTTATTCTTTCTGGCCATCTTATCTTACTTATTATACAAGCTTTCAATTCGAATAATAAGATTTTCTTATTATACCGAATGTTACATTTTCTGTATCAATTGAAGCAAATTGTTTTCTTCTCGTGAGTAAATGTATATATATATATTTTTAGAATTTTCTTCTATTTTTTTTATGTCAACAGGGTTTACCCTTTCAACATGGTGATATTTTACATGTTGTCAACGCCAGTGATCGTGAATGGTGGCAGGCTAGACAAATTTCATTGCCGTCAGATTTCCAAACTGCCATCTCCCTAAATTCATCCTATCTACCGGATACTACTACTACTAATAATAATAATAATACTAATGATAATAACAATAATAATAATGATAGTATGAGTACACAAACGCCTGGACTAACTACAACCACGGGATTGGGTATATTCCTAGTATTCAGCGTATTGAAAGACGACAGAGAACACGTTTGAAACGAGTGAATTTCGTTGGGAAAGTCACTGTAATTGGTTCAACAACTTATCCGTCTGCATTGAATTCGGGACAGCTTTGTCAATCTCCATGGGATATAGGTGAAAACAATCCTGTCACAACTGGTAATAGTAATGAAAAGAATAATAATGGAATTACACTTCCTAATACTGGCATTGCTGGTAATACATTAAGAAACAATTCTCTTGACATCAATACAAAAGATCACATTCCACTTATGTCGATTACATCAGAAACCAACAATGGTAAGTGTTGTGCAAGTGTACTAATCATTTTCAAATTGTAATTCCTTGTGATGATGTATTTTTTATTTATTTATCATTTGACTGTCTGAGAGAGCCATAGTTTGACAGACTAGTATTCATACTGGGCGATGATTGAAGGTGAAATCTGTACCACGGCGAAATTCAAACCAGTAACCATTGGGTTTCCGGCCTGATGCTCTACCAACTGAGCTACGGGGTCTGACTGCTGACCACACTTTTATTCCACTTCAATCACCAAGGGTTTTCCCGACTACCATGTGAATTCGTGGTGGTCACTTGTTTGAATCCGGCTATAGTCCAGATTTTCATATCACCTTCAATCATCACCCAGTATAATGTATTCGATAGAAAGAGAAGTGATAGAGATAGAGGTAGATAGTGATAGATAGAGAGTGAAGTGGTTGAGTGTGTTGACCACTTCACTTACCTGGGAAGTAGGATCAACCCCGGTGGGTTAGTTGCCGATGAGATTTCCGCACGGATACAAAAGGCTCGATTGGCTTTTGCCAATTTGCGCCACCTATGGCGCCGCCGTGATATTCGTTTGTCTATTAAGGGTCGCGTGTACTGCACAGCAGTCCGCTCTGTTCTACTGTATGGCTGTGAAACATGGCCATTGAAAGTGGAAGATATAAAAAGGCTTCAGGTTTTTGACCACGTTGCCTTCGTAGTATAAGCTGTATTCCGTAGTGTCACCACATGAGTAATGCAGAAGTCAGGTGTAGAGTTTTGTGGAGAAGAGGTAAGTCAGTTGACGAGGTTGTGAACCTTCATCGATTGAGATGGTTGGGACACGTACTACGTATGCCTAGTCACCGATTGCCTCGTCACACAATGTACGCTGAGGTGGGTTCAGGCTGGAAAAAGGCCCGAGGTGGCTAGACTAAAACATGGCACCAATATATGAAGTCTCTGACTGTTGGTTTAAGCCATGTAGGACGATGCAGACTAGGTGGTTGGGGTTCACGGGACAAGAGGAAGCAGTGGTTGGAGACCCTAGGTGATATGGCTCAGAACCGAAGTCAGTGGCGCAGATGTATACACATATTATCCTCATCTTAACAACGATATACCGAATCTCACCATTTTGTCACTCCTCTTTCCTTTCTTCTCTTAATTTATATTTCTTTTGACTGCATTCACTTATCTTCATCCTTCACCTCACTACCTTTTTACTTGATGTGCTGATATGAGGTGTGGCAACTCGGACCGTTACGCAGTAATGCTTGGTCCTATGTTGATAATGATGATGATGATGATAATGTATTCGTGTTTTTTACGTGTTAGTTATATTTTGTTTACATCGATTTGTAAGTTGATTTCAAGAAATACTAGTACAAACTTGCCTATCCCTATGTTTACTTCACATTATCCGTGTACACCGTTGACACTGTAACGTTGAGGTTTAATTCTGTTGTTGGCAGTTTTATTGATACACTTTGAGATGGTGGTCAGACTGTCCTACCGTAAATGCATTGTCTGAAATTCTTGTTCTTTGATGCTCTACCATTCTAAAAAGATTATCTGAAGGAGTGGTAAGATTAAAAGCAGTTTATTTCACAACCAAAATAATGCAAAATAATTTAACGTTTGAGAATGAAAACATACTGTTGATTATAACGGTGTGTAATAGCGATAATGTGTTTCCTGAAGACGAAAATGATTACTAGCTGACTCTGCTTTCCCTTTGTCGTTAGCGGGGATGATAGTAGATGGGCTCTAGCAATAGTACATTCTACTCTTGTTCCACCGGTAAAGTATTTTTATATTGAGGATCCAATAGTTAAGTCTTAGTTTACAACCTCCATGAAAACACCTTTTGAGTACTATGAAGTGGCTGCCTATTTAATCACTGACTTCTTACTCCCAATTCGATGAGACTGATTCAATTTCTTTTTGAGATATCATAACAATAAGTAATAGTCTACTGTATCAAAGATGCAATGAAAAATAGGACGGTTGTGTTTAGAATTGCCTAATTGATGCAAACTTTGATAATCTTAGTGCCTTACGGTTGAGATAGTTCTCATGTATTGTAAGCGGCGGCGTGCAATTCCATATTATACTGTATTTGACAAAACACATTCAGTTGAATATTATTTACCGGATCAACGCCTTACACTTACAAGACGACTGATTCATCACAAATCGCAGAAATCTGCAAATTCTACTAAAAACATAAGCATGAAGAACTTTAAATTTATTAAAAAAACGTTGTATGATAACTTGGATATGATTATAAGTTGTACTCAAAACATCCTCTAATAACTAATACTGGTATATCAAATCATCTAATATGGAATTTTGGACACAGTAAAACCAATAAATGTTGTTATAATCTTTACAGTTGAAGGGAGTTGTTATTCTTCTGAAATCTAATCAGTTGTACTATGTTTTACTATGGTTGAACTTTACTGTCTAGGTTATAGTCGTACGCATCTGTATGTTTGCTTGATGTAGAAATGAGAGAAATCCTTCCAAGAGATATTGAGTGACTAAATTCTATGATTTTAAGGAATCTGTTCCTTTGTGTTATTCCTTTCTATGAAATTTATACGGTTAAAAATCAGTTATGTCATAACCAATAAGTAAGTTATATTCAACCAGTAATTGTAATCTACAATCAGATGTAGATGTATTTCATCAGCTTAGAAAATTAAATTTTGAACTGATAAGCTCTAACTTTTTTCCTTCTGAAACCTACTTTAGCTAACATTGTGCGACTGGTCAAATGGTAGGCAGACATGTATAACACAATCACTTGTTTTTTGGCAAGCACTAGCTTTCAAGTATAAGGTGGGAAGCTGTGTCACTTGACCACCATCGACACCGAATGAATGATTGACACAAATAGATCATGCTACTACATGCCATCATGGTAGCGAATCCGTGGAGGACTGCTGTTCTTTCTGGAGTACCTGTTGAGACACCGCTCACTCGCGAATATAAGCACGTATATGTCTACTTCTTGCTAGTTGCAGAAAACGGGTGGCAGTGAGGCACCCGTGTGCTCAACTGGAAGGTGCGAACGTCAAGTACGTATTTATCTGGTGACAGAAATTCTCATCTTGAGGACACCTGGCGTGTTATTTAGTGTGCTGTAAAAACAGATGGTAACCTACATCTGAAGGTGGATTTCCGTCATCTCATACAAACTGATCAGTGTGAGAACACTCATTTCACCTGGCTCTGACCACGATGAAGGGCGACAGCGAAAGCAACTCAAAGGTGAATTGACCAACACTCTTCTCAATGATGGTGAACATTGGTGAGTGGCAAAAGTGAAAGTGAGAGCGAAAGTGAAAGTGAAAGCGAGAGAGAAGGAGAAGGAGAAGGCATCAGCATTAGGTAATAACCAGCAACTATTTTGGCTTATTAAGGATATTGGCTAACAGGGGACGATGATTAGTGAAACCGTCACCGGAAGGGATAGGACGTGGATGACCTCTCACGATAGGCAGGTAGAACTCTGAACGGAGGAATTTGAAGCACAAGTCGACTAGCCCACAGCAGTGACTCAGTTGTACAGCACATATTATCCAGTCGAAACCCTAATGCGACACAGGTATCAGTCGTCTGACTCTCCTCGAAGTTGAGACGCCTGTTTCTTACGTGAATCGATGGAAAGTAGTAGGAGGTGATGGCTTCTCGAAGGATGTTTTTTAGGATGGAAGTAGGAAGTTATTGTGTTGAGTAATGGAATAGCCAGGTAACATGTGAGGGAATCCGAGGTGGTTGGTCAGAATAGTCTGTTTCATTGATCATTCCATCATTTCATATGTGGGAGGAGTTTTCCTGTGAAAACCATAGGAGAATCTGTTTGACTAACCATGTAATGAAGATCCTTGAGTTGCCAGTTATTTGATGTTTAAGTGAGACTCGAGAACAACAACAAACATGATGAAACCAGAAACGTTTGAGATCTGAACGAGAGTGTAACGATCGCATCTTCATTTTCCCCCTTCATCAATCTATGGGAGCCACATTTACTCTTACAATCGCTTGTCAGTTGCCATATTTGTTGACCTCAAGTTGGCGTTTGATTCTGTCGACTGTGAGGTGCTGTGGCATGCTACTCTCGGGAGCACATTTGATTGACTGAGAGTACACAAGCATGATATCCCTCTGGGGTTGAGAGGCTGACAAAATGCACGGTTTTCTAAACGTTTGAGTAGAAAAATGTCTGTTTTCGTTAAGTTTCATGCCTGTGAAATGTAAGATGATGTTCGAGAACTGATGTACAACTAATTCATGTTTGAGAATAAGAAATGCAGTGAAGAATGCATTGACCGACTCACTTTTTTAGATAGCAGGATCTGTCGTAATGGCCTGGTTGGTGACAGATTCTCAGCTGGGATACATGCAGAAGATCGGCTTTGGACTGCTGAATTGCGTTTTCCCTGGTTATTCACTGGCCAGATACCTGCCCACTTGTCAAAGGACATGTACACTCTACTGCAATCCTTTACGTCTGTTAGATATGGTTGTTGAGAGTGGAAGATATGAAAAACCACAGGTTTCCGTTCATATGTGTCTTCCCGCCATTGCTCACTTATGATAGAATGACCATGTGAGCAATGTGGATGTTGGGCACGGGATACTAGGAAAGAGAGGCAAGTTGGTCGTCGATGTTGTGAAGCTTTATCGACGGAGGTGACTTGGAGATGTGTTGCGCATTCCGAACTACCACCCACCTCAACATCTTATGTCAGCTGCTGTATGTTTGAACTGATTCAGGGCGACCAGACCGTGAGGTCGCACCTGTCCACGAGCCATGTTGGTGTTCGTAGAATGCCTGTTTGGAGACCGTGAAATGATAGGAATCAGTGGTTGAGGACTCTTAGTGATATGGCTGGGAATCGATCACAATGGTGCAGGTGTGTTCACTCTGGCGTCTTCTAAAGTTTGAATATTTCCATTAACTTTCATCTTCAAGTTGGTCTTTCTCCCATTATTCTTTTGTCTATTTTGATATCAGTTTTTTCCCACTTGTTCTTTTCATACTGATGTGAAGTATGGCAACTTGAACCGATACATTTCTTTGCGAGTTTATACTCTGATATTATCTGTTTGCTTCCAGAAATGTTCTGTCTGGATAAGTGCCCGATTTAGGGATCAACCAATAGGTAGTAGACTGTTTTATTTTACTGTCTTTCACACCTGAAGAGTTGCCTCATACTAATGAGCATAACACATTGGAGCTACTTGGATTGATCAAGGTTCACGACACCACGAACCAACTCTCCTCGTGTGTCTAAAATTCTCAGCCTAACTTCAACGTTGCTGACCTGGGGTGACACTATAACTCACGGCTTATGCTATGAGATCAGTGGTGGTCACACACCTGAAACCTCATATCCTCTACCTTCAGTGGCCATGTTTCAAAGTCATATACCACAATGAAGCGAACTGTTTTGTTAGTACACTCTTCCTCTAATAGAAAACTGAATACCTTGATGGAGCCATAAGTAACTTAAGTTGGAGAAAGCCAGTTGAACCTTTAGTATCCATTCGTTGATTTCTTCGGTCGTTTACCCATCTTGATTGAGCCCACACATCAACGCTCTCAGCGATTTCACACCCCACTGTTAAATGTGGTCCCAACTCAGAGTAGTCCTGGAGCGAAAATCCGCATGTAGTCACTCAACGTGTGTTTCCAGTGTCTTTAACTAGGAGGACCTTGTCAATTGCTTACTGTAGGTTTGCTAAAGATTCTTCTGCGATCAAGCCAATCTGTTTAAGGTCAGATGATGATGATGATGATGATGAAACCTTCATATGGAAGTTAAATAAAAATGGAAAGTTAGAATGCTTGACAAATACCACCTGTCGTACAAAGCCTAGAAGGCCGTAACAGGACGATGGGTGTTTGATTATGAGGCCTTCAATAGAGTGATTTATTTACCAGACACCTCTTTCAGTGAGAGACCTCTACGTCGATAGGGTTGAATATTGCCTTAAGGTGAAGGAGTACACTCAGGTTTGGGTGCTGGTAAGTGTGTATGTGTTCCTAAACGTGTCGGAGAGTAAATGTCTACTTAATGCACCTAGGACTAGGTCTGAAACCTACATACTTCTCTCAGGTTCGCTGTTCCGAAGCTCCACTCAAACAACTTATGATCATAGAATCCGAATTCGACTCAATACCTTCGTGAGCTTGATCACCGTGTGATTATCACAAGAGGACTTCTCCCACTTCTTAAAGTCTGAAACAATCAGTGATTGACAACAGTCAGAGTGGACCGTGTCTGACTCGTATACACTACTCAACACTTCAACCAATCTGACCAATAATCGCCTACAGTCGTGCTTAAATACCTCCACTATTAGTCCATCTACACCTGCTGATCTTCCTCGTTTCACATTACCTACAGCTTTTCCAACTTCTACAAGTATTGAGGCTCTATCTCAGTCAGTCTTTCATTCACCATTCAACTGAATAGCGGAAAACAGGAGAGTAGCTCGAGGCCAGTTGAAGTGATCCTCAAAGTGTTAATACTCATCGTTCAAGTCACTTTCCCTGTGGGTGGATCACGAACTCATCCTCCTCTGCTATGACTCACTATCACTATCCACTGATCTTTACACTACAGTTTCGTGGGTAGTTTAGTCTTAAATAACTACCTACTCTTACTTATCACCACTGCCTTTTCCACTTCTCCATCCTTCTCCATCCACTACCACTGACTGGAGTCATTGCATCAACTTTTTTCGTCAGTCAATATATGAGTTATTTCCACTCCTCATTGTGCTCGGAACGTGATGAGATGCTTTCGTGTGCATCCTTTAGTTCAGAAAAAGCAGTTGAGTTCCATTAGCCCTTCGCAGCCACTCTCTGAAAGTCGGCTACGACCTACACCACTGTTTTTAAAGCAGACTGGAGATGGTGCGAGACTTCTTGCAGATGAGTCATATTGTCATGTTCCCATAACTGTCTATCCAGCTGTCTATCCTCACTCAAAGCAGCTTTAGTTTTCTCATCGTTCAGCTGTACTCACGATGGTCTTTGTTGATGTAGTTTTCCCACGTCCATTGAGGTGCGTAAATAAGTGTGTTTAAAACAACGCTAAATCACTTTCCAAACAGGTGTTTCAAAGTGAGGGGCAATCTTCCACCGACCTTCTCCAGTAACAATCTATAGTCATATGGTCTATGTGTGTCCAACACTGACTTGGGGTCAGTGGATGCCATGTCAGACGATGTCCGGTGGCAGCACTATGTAAGTAATTCTGAGGTGCAACAACGTGTGGTGTTTGGTCACGATGGAGGTCATCATTCAGTAAATGAAGTCACCAAGAAACACAGGCTATAGTGGGTTGAAAATGCATTATGCATTTCTACCTTCCACTGCCTCCTTTGAGAAACGCCATCAAGTAACGTCATCCACCATCACGAAAACGATGCACTCATAGTGTTCTACAAGAGGGTTTAGGGCATCTGGTAGTAGCAATGATTCGTGAAGTTTGCTGCTAAATTAAGTAAGAACTAGATACAGTTTTATTGATGTTTTTATTCGTGATGTTCGCCAACTTTAATTAGTACTCATGTGTAAGATTCTTCCTACTTTCTGTGTTTGTGCATCTATCACGCAGTCTCGTCACTGAATGGGGACCTCTAAATACGGAGGTCGTTTGCTGCTGACTAATGGTTCTAATTCTACTTCAATGAGTGCATAAATTTAATTCTTTATTCAAAGTCTACGATATAGTTGATATTATTGATAAACGTTGACTTGGTGTTCTCTGAGTTCAGGTATTTTGCGTGGACATTTCATTACTTGAGCTAGTGATAACCTGAACAACGCAAACGTCATAAAGAGAAACATGTTTTCTCTTTTTTTTTCAAGGTCAATTTGATGGTAATAAGAAAAAAAGAGCAAGTAGTTTAACTAGGAATTTATTGAAATGCTTTACTCATCGTCCTGTTAAAAATGATTCAATTGGTCCAATGACTGTAACCAGAACAGGATCTTTAGATGGAGTTAATCAAAGTAAGTTTATTCATTCACTGAACTCTTGCTTTATTTATAAATCAATAGAAATATTCATTCCTCTTAGTTCATATCAATTCGGTATACTACATGTTTATGTATATATGCTATTTTCGTATGATATGTCTCATTTCTTTGTGATAAAGAACATGCTTTTTTTTATGTAAATGTCCATTCATTATTAGTTCAATCATCTTAAGTTAGTATGATATGAACTAGCCTTGTTTAATTGTAAATTTTAAGTTGAACTGTTGGACCATGGGTGACTCGTTGATCACTCCTAATACTCGTTTCGTTTCCGTTCCTCAACACAACTACTAGGGAATCGCAATAAATCAACGATAAAGGAAAACTTACATACGGTGATGATGCAGTGCATGGGTATTTATAAGCTTCGATATAATAATCTTGGAAATAAACTAGTCAACACCTCCCACCCCTCACAGTTTAGAGTATGATCTTAGAACTTTTTTTGGAGATATTTGAAGATTTCTCAACATGTTGTATCGGTAACTGTTGACACGGTTCTTAGTAAATAGTAATATTTCACAGCGACGACGATTTTAGTGCTCATATATTTATGAATACTGTCAGAACATGAGGGTTATGCAAGTGTATTGATTGATACTATAAAGTAGGTGCCGTGGTTTCGAGTCCCTAAACACAATAATTAACGGGTTGAAGACGAAACTGTTTAAAACAATTAGTTCCCTTTATAAACTTCGACAAAGCAATTCAGCCTTCCTATCTGACCTCTTTTTATTTTCTCACCCCTTATCTTCATGAGTTTTTATATAAATACCTATGACAAGTACGTGTGTGATCAGATAGTTCAAAATGTGTTGCATAAATACATTACACGGTTTAGACAATTTACGTCTTCTTAGTGTTTTGTCGAAACTATTTAGTTATATTCCCCTCACAGTATTTTAGGGCAAAACCTACCTAGACAGCATCGTTTCAGTTACACGCGTCACAGGCACAGATGAGGATGTCAAAGCCAACATCAGAAAAGCAAGACAGATCATCAGTAATCTGAAATAAGTGTGGAGGTCTACTCCACTCCACTCAGCATAAAGCGTGTACAAGGTCCGAATTTTCAACACTAATGTCAGTCAAGTAAGGCAGTGATTCTATGTGATGTTTGAGAGACTTAGTGGGGCGTTACGAAAAGCATTTCCAACAAACTGTAGATATGCATCATATCAACACCTGCCACCTATGCTCATTCGATACTGACACTGAAGATCAGATGGTCAGAATAACAAGTATAACCAACAAGGAACTCACTCTGACTGGCTGGCAGGCAGGCAACGAACCAACCAAGAACCCAACGCCCTAAAAATATGCAGAAGTGGAGATAGGTTGGATCAGATTGGACATACACTGAGAAGACTATTCGAGGACATCACCTGCCTGCTGAGGCTAGACTGTCGAGTGGAGGCCAAATGGAAAACAACCAGTTGGGCGTCCCATCTGAGGGTGACATGGAGGAGATGATGTGAGGAAGAAATGAGAGCATGTGGGTAGTTGTGGAGTCAGGTTGAAAAGACTGGAGAGAAGAGAGTGAAATGGAGACGAGCTGCTGCGGCTCTATGTTCCACTAGGAATCCAAGGGACAAATAATGAGAAATTTTAGGGCATGAAGGATTTTTTTAAATATCGCTTTCTTACCTGAACAATTTTTTCTTGACATAATCCATGATGTCATCCTTTCGCGGTATTCAGAAAAGATTTGCTTCTGTAAAGCTTCAATATGCATTTTTATGCATCCATGTTTCCGCTGGCTGCTTCAATCAGTGTGTCTGTATGTGTGTACTTGTTGTTGCCTTTTTTTTATGGCGTTCTCCTTTCCTCTCTTATTTATTCTAACAGTATACACTTCTGTATTATTCTTTCTATCCAATACTATTGCATGTAATAAACAAATTCTGATTTTTCTTTTCTTGGTTACTTTCTTTCTTTCTTTCTCTCTGTCTATCTATCTTCCTCTCTCTACTTCGATCGTGTGACCATATTTTACTATCGACCAGTTAAAGAGGAAGCTATGCTCTGTGTGTGTGTGTGTCTGATGCGTTGTCGACACTGCTCACTGTCTCGATTGTGTAATCATATGATCCTTTGTTGTTGTTGTTGCTACTGCTGCTGCTGCTGATGATGATGATTTGCTCACTTACGCTGGTTCCCAGCTTGTTTTTATCTTCCACTCAGTTGTACTTTATTCATTATGGAATAGCATGTAGTCACGCTGTTTGTTATACAGTCAATCTATGTATGTGTGTATGTGTATGGTTTATGATATTAGATATTGGTTTTATTTTCTAAGACATGATCAGAATTGATAATACTTCAATGTTTTTGGTAATGTATGTTACAAAATTTGTTGTTAGTGATTTTAAAGTATCATCTGTGTATCATATGACTTTAGCATTGTTGATATTATTGTTTTTATTTCTTTGTTTTTTCATCTTCAACGAGCTGTGGTGTTTTGTTTACCGTTGTTAGGATATCCCTTAGAAGTAGCAGTGATTCACTTACAAGCATATAATCGAATATCAGTTTCCTCTGACCTATCTCACTCAGCTTGAGGATATGAACTCGTATGTAGTTGATAAATTTATGTTAGTGAGGGATTGCAAATGTAATCCTTTCAACTTGATGTTAGTACATAGAGTTATCTTGTAGTTGTCAATGTAACTGACAAACTTTACTTTCACTGTAGACATTTTTCGTGATTATTACTTTTAATAATATTTCTCAGTCAATAATGAACCTTGAAGAGATTTCTTGTTTGGTAACCTATGGGATAAGAAGCGGTTGTCATTCGATTTCGTCCCTAAGACCTAAAATTGCTAACGTTATTTTAGACGCTTGTATTTATTTAGACAACTTGAAAATATTTTACGGATCTTGAGTGGAACTACAGACAGACAGGGAGAGGTACCTGGCTTGGATATTAACTATCTAGTTTCAAAATTGAATCATGATTGGATCTAACTAAATACATCGTTTAATTAGAAGAGTTTTGACTCGTACTGCTTAACTTTGGCACTATAGACAGTATGCACTAAACACCTAGAAAACCTTAAGATCATCGTTTCTTTTTCCTGTTAAACGTCATGAATTTTTTTTTACAGCAGTTACGAAGCAAAGTGAGAGTTAAGCTTGAGTTTTCTGGTGGTGGTAGATAAAAAAATATATATCAGACTGTCGTAACTAAAAGTAACGTTTTGATCATGTTTTATTTGTGTATGTTTCTTCGAGATTGTACTTCAGGATAAAGGATAAGCTACATGAAGAAGTAAATACTGATAAAGCCACTTAGCCTGGTGATAATGAAACATCTAAGAATAAACCGTAGAGTTTAGAAAACATCCAATAATTATCATAGTATTCTTTTTAAAATGCCGATAAAATTTTATTTAAGAGATTGGTGCAAAGATGTGATTGACTGATCAATTGGTTTTCGGTACCTGATCTACTCTGCTCTATCTCTACCATCTTGGAAACCGAGTTCAATAAGTTTTAGGTTACAGCCGGTAACATAATCACTTGTACTGATCGCAATTAGCCTTTTGGGAGGTTGTTATTTAATTATATTATGCCCGATATAGCTAAAGTTGAGTTTTGTAATCAGTACTTGTGTGTAGTTTCCTATCGAAAGCTATATAATATAACCATTCCGGTATAGAATGTTCAATATTGTTTAATTAGATATGTAGACTTGTAGTAGTTTAAGAAGTAGGACTGTAAAAATACTTGTATTCAGTGATACCGTTATGATAAAGTGATCAGTATAGGAGTTGCGTATACAGCGTCAAGTAAAGATATCAAGAAAATCTGTATAGTATGAACCTGCAAGAATGACTATTATTATTATTTGTCCCTTGGATTCCTAGTGGAACATAGAGCCGCAGCAGCTCGTCTCCATTTCACTCTCTTCTCTCCAGTCTTTTCAACCTGACTCCACAACTACCCACATGCTCTCATTTCTTCCTCACATCATCTCCTCCATGTCACCCTCAGATGGGACGCCCAACTGGTTGTTTTCCATTTGGCCTCCACTCGACAGTCTAGCCTCAGCAGGCAGGTGATGTCCTCGAATAGTCTTCTCAGTGTATGTCCAATCTGATCCAACCTATCTCCACTTCTGCATATTTTTAGGGCGTTGGGTTCTTGGTTGGTTCTTTGCAGATCTTCGAATTTGTGCGACAAGACATTAGACATAAATCATCATCGTTGGTGAAATCCAAATCTTCGAAGGTCTTTTCACCGGTCAAACAGCGTATGACCATCTTCTCGCTCCTCACAGCTATCTGTTGCATGATCCAGTCCACTCCACTCGACCACAATCAGCAAGATGATCGGTGATAGTAGTAGGTGGCAACCTCGTCTTACTCCTGTCTTCACTTCAATGGTGTCACTCAGCTTTCCATTGTGGATAACTTGGCATATGGCATCTTCATATAGTTGTTGAATGAGGTTGATAGAGGTTTGTGGCACTAAAACCGTAGTATTGAAGCAGCAGTTGCCAAATTACTTCTCGGTCGACGCCTCGATCGAAGGCCTTATCAAAGTCGATGATGTTGAGCTAAAGATCCATTTGACTGTCATTCTATACTCTGTTCTATGATGATGCGAAGCATAACGTTACAATTTGATCCACACATGATTTTCTCTTCCTGAATCCAGCCACCCAATCTGTTCCAGTCGTAATTTTGAATCCAGTACATCTTTTAACCTCTCCAGGATGATTTGGCATAATATTTTGCTCACTTGTGGTGTACAGGGAGGGACAGGAGGATGATTCGACGTCAGTTATTGCAAAGGATTAGGTCTCCCTTCTTCGGTAGTTTAGTTTTACAAGGTAGTCGTTTTTCCAATCAATCTGCATGTACCTTTCCCTCGTTCCTTGCAAACCTTCTGCAGTAGTGGTGTGAGCATGTCGCATGCTGTTGTCTGTGTGTGTTTTTAGTGGTTGTGGAGGAATTCCATCTGGTCCTGCTAGTTTCCCGGATTTCGGCAGCTTAATGGCGTTGACGACTTCACTTCTGCTTTTATCGGAGTCGTTATGTTGACGGATAGTTGTGTTGCTGGTTTGCTTTGCTGTTGGTATTTCTGGATGATTTGCAGGTGGTGGTGGTCGATTCAAGAGTATTTTGAAGTGGTCAGCCCATTGTTTCCTTTGTTTCTCCTCTTTGGTGGCAACTAGCTTTCCTTCACTGTCTTCCATTGGTTTTGTCTGGGTTGATCTGTTCCCAGACAGCAAGTAACCTGGTTATCTGATATAATGTTGTCATGTCTCTTTCTCTCCTACCTGGAGCCTGCTGTGCTTCACTTTCCAGTGTGTCGTAGAAGTGTCTTTTGTCTTCTTCACTTCTCTGTTGAGTGTGGTGTTTTATAAGTTGTAGTCAGTTCCTCTTTTCGTTGTTTATCCTTGAACTGAACTGCACTGGACCGCACTGCACTGGTTCATCTTCTCCTTCACTATCTTCCTCTCCCTCCTCCATAAGCTTTCATGTGTCCGTTGACATCTATACGACTCCTTGTTTTGTTTCCTCTTGCTTCCTAGTACGGTTATGCAGGTTTCTTTCCACATCCCTTTCAAAGATTTCCAGTGTTCTTCCAAGCAGGTTGCTTCAGGTATGTTGCTGAATGTCTCTTATTTTGTTGTGATGGCTGACTGACATGAAGATGTCGTTTGTAGTTTTGTCCTTCAGTTCAGTTCAGTATCTGTTCTGGGTGGTTGTTCAACTTGAACTGTGGTCGATCATCACCAACTTCTTTGGAAGAGGCTTTCAACTTGATTTTGGAGGTAGGTTCCTTGCAGTAGGTGGCCAGTGGTGTGAACCACCTACATCTTCTCCCCTTCTTGATCTGATGTTGTGTCCAGTAGGCTGAGTGCATCTTCACTTTCTTGAGATTGAGATGAAGTCGATTTGATTTTTAGTGTAGTGTGTCCTGGTGTCTGGTGAAGTGCATGTTGTTGCCTTGTGAATATGCTTGTGTTTGTAGACACTGCCTCGCCTCCAATCACCAAATTGTTGAATGCGCAGGAGTCTGCAAACAGTTCTCTGTTGTCATTCATTTCATTGAGTGCCTGTCGACCCATGATTGGTTCTCTTCCTGTGTTGTCCACTACCAGTTTCGCATTGATGTTGCCCATTAGAATGAATTTTGAAGTCGTTATTCGGTGTGTGGTTTTGTGGATTACTGATTGCAGCTGTCTGTGGAATTCTTCCTTCTTCTCTTGATCTACATTATTTGTAGTGTAGGTGAGTAGCATTGTATGATATCCATGATAGTCATGATAGCCACTGGAAAACTCAGTGTGCTGTGCTCGTGGTTGTGGTCTGGATGAGAATATCGGAGTAGATTATTGTCTCTGCAGTTGACAGTTTAGAGAGTCCACTTTTGTTCCATCTGCTTTCACAGATTCTTACCACTTCTATGCCATATCTTCTCATCTCTTTGTCAATCTGGGCAGGCAGGCTTGCCAGTGAGCTTCAAACATGGTGTGGACATTGCATGTTCTTATGCTTACTTTGCTTTCACCGAGAGAAGAGAAGACACATTGGCGGATTGGCTTCCCAAAGGCTTTCACCAACCGGGCATCATTTGGTCTCTCCAATTCCAGTGAGGAATAAGTTTGTTTTGATTTTTTATATTTCCTCTGTGCTTTAGATTTTTTTCTAGCGGTTATATTGAATCTGCGGGTTGCTAGTCGTATACCCAACCTTCCATCTTTTTCCTCGGGCTTATGGCCGGTTAATAACTAGTGAACTAGTTAAGCAGGCGTAGTTGCGTGAATGATATTTACTTGTAAATGATACATCATTGCGAGCAGGATGTCGTCGGAAGTAAGATAATGGTGAGCGGGTGAAGGAATTCATCCCACCGAAGGATGTACTTTCTGACGGATATTTTTATAGTTGTTTGGAAAAATCTAGGTCTCCTAGCTGTAATCCTTAACAGATATAGGTTTTACTAAATTGGCTTTAAGTCCATTTACATTTTAGTTTGCTCACTCACTTGGTTTGTCATTTTCAATTTTATGAACATACTGTTTAAATCCGTTTTGTTCTTCTTCGCTATCAACTCATTATTTTCGTTTACGTAAATATAATTGTAAATCTATTGGGGTTTTTATATGACTTATTGATTTCAAAGTGGTTTTAATCGTGGAATCAACCGATTTATGTGTTGGGACAAATATTTATCGGATGTAGTATCGTACTACATTGCCGATTGATAGAAGTGTGCACAATTGGATTCCAACTCATTGGAACTCGATCGTAATGTGATACTTAACGGTCTTGAGATTTTTCCCGCATGTGGTCATGACTATGCACTGCTGAAGAGTTTCAGACTAAGCTAAACAAGTTAGCTAATACTCCCAAGTTTCTATTCGTTCTCCATGGGTTGTTAATCCATGACGAAAACTGTTACAAGACTGTTGTATTAAATGATTGACAGCTAGGTCATGTATCTCAGTTGGCAGAATTTCAAACTGCCAACTCAGATGCTGCTGGTTTTAATGTTGCTGCAATTTGGGTTTTCATTTCAGCCAGTGTCAATAATATCGGTGTGCTAAACCATGTCTACCTTAGATAATCTCATTAATAATTCTATTCGTGATGATTCACTATTTGTGTTATTTTCAGTCTGTTTGTATAATCTGCTTTTATAACTGAGATGAAAGGAAATCTGGATTATGATACGATTCAAATCAAACACATCTGGATAACTGTACTGATGCTGTACCGATTGATTCATGAGAATTAACTCCTAAGCGAGTTCTTATTCCACTTAAAGCATATTTAGTTTTATTTGGTTTTCATTGTGAATATATGAAACATGATTTGTTCATGCAATGATATCATCGTTTCAATTGCTCAGCTATGCTTTCTTATTTCCCTTTAAATTGATCTAAAAAGGGATTGACTAACTTGATGGCTTGTTGATTCTGGCTATCTGATAAACGCAAATTTGAAACTGAACCTTTCCCATTGATGCTCTGAAAGGGTTATCTTCTAAATTTCTTTTTTTTTTTTCTATTCACGAACTGCTAGTCCATTGAATGTAGTGAGATTTTTTTAAAGCTTCAATAGGATAACGATGAGATTATAATTAGTTATAGTTAATGAATGTTACTTGTTTAGCGGATATCGAGTCGAAATACGCTCAGCAAGTATATCCACATTCGTGCAGTAGGCAGTAAGCCGTACTTTTTGTATGATTGGCTTTACTTTGGCAGATAGGGTTGAGGTTAAATCAGTAACCTGTCAATTAGAAGTTAACCGGCTCAAATAATAAACAGTAACTTTCTGATATTTACTGAATCATTCATTATTGGTCAATTTCATCAATTGTAATTGCATCAGTATTCTTTTTGAAGTAGGACCCGGTTATTTGATGTTAATTTCTTTTGACAATAAACAGTAAGTTTGTCACAGAGATATGTTTTCAAACAGGATTTTGTATATATCATATTTGTTTAAAGTGAAATGTAAACGAAGTGTGTTTGCTCCCTTTAATCCCACGAGATGATAGTTGAATGTATCAGTGATGAGGTAATATCAACCATCATTATCAAGATCAACATAACAACAGGCATTACTGCGTTATGGTCCAAGTTGTCACATTTCATATCAGCACATCATGTAACAAGACAATAAAATGGGAAATGAAGAAGGAAAGAAAAATCGATTGAAGAAAGTAGAAGTAGAAAGTAGTAAAACAGAAGAAGGAAGAATGAGAAAATGATGAGAAAGAGCAAAGCAAGCATAGGAGTTAAGATGAGGCGAATACATGTATACATAGACCTGCACCACTGACATCGGTTGTGATTCATGTTATCATGTAGAGTGTCGAACCATTGGTTTCTCTTGTCCCATGAACCCCAATCAGCTAGTCTGCATCATGCTTGATGGTTGAAACGAACAGTGAATGACTTGATGCATTGATGTTATGTTTTAGTGTGACTAGCCGTAGGCATTTTTGAGTGTGAGCGTACTTGGATGAATATAGTGGGATGATGTAGACTGTGGTTGGGCATTTGTAATACATGTTGCATCCATCTCAGTCGATGAAGATTCACAACTAAATCAACTGACTTATTGACCGCAATCATTTTGTTTAACAGGAGTTGAACAAACCCATATTCAGTAAGGTTTCGAGTTGGTTATAATTATTACACTTAGAAAAAAGTATTTAGTTGATAAGTGTAGAATGTTTCGTATACCGTCTAAAGTAATATGAGTAAGGGATAACAAAGACTTTTATTTTGCCAATATAGATACTATCAGATGTAGTTAAAACAATTCTGTTACTACAATTTCATCTACATGAAATGCTGAATCCTTGGATGTGTTCTTTTTGAAATTATCTGATCTACGAATTGTTAAATCTTTCAACACTTTAATTGACTTTGACCTCCAAGATATTATTGACTATTTCATTTTAGGAAATCACCAATATCAAGTTGTTGAATTTCACTGCACAGTTTATTTCTTCCTATTCAAGTTTTACTTGCTTTACAACTTTCAAATATAGGTAACAATAGTTTCTGTCGTGATTGCACGTAATTCTTCGTAGTTTTGATGGGCAGTTGTAAAGAATACTAGTCTCACTCTTTATACACTTGATTATTCAGATCAATTATTCTTTTTTTTTCAGGTTATATGTAGTCTTTGCATACATTTGTGGAGGTGGTTACACTGTTATTTAAAGAATTACTGTTCATTGTTGTGTGTAGGTTATTTATTTAGATTATTATTTGTCCTTCTCCCGTTTGCCTTTTTTCTCCTATTCATCAAGAAGATCGACTACCTAATATTCGGAGCTATGATGTTGTTATCCCAGTCAAAATTTCCATGGCACGTCCTTTAATCCTCATTGGTCAGTTAAAAGATCGTGTCATTGATGAATTATTATTACAGAATTCTAAATTCACAACATGCATACTACGTAAGTATTTTATATATCATTTTTGACTATCTGTGCTAGATATAGTTTGGGTTTGGCAGGCTTGTTTTGATACTGGGTGATGATTAAAGGTGAAGTAGTGCAACTCGAACCAGTGACCACCAGGTCTCCGGCTTGATGTTCCGGGCCTCGAACCTCAGTTGGTAGTGCATCGGTTCAGAAACCCGGTAGTCGTTAGTCCGAATTTTATTTTGTATGTTTTTTCCCTTGTTTATTGTATTGAGCTTGTTTTATTTATACTCAGGGTGTGTTGATGTTCGTATCATCGGTTGAACGGATAAAGACTGATATGTTTTCAGTGCAGTGAGTAAGATTGATACTGGCTTGACTTTACCTACTCGACATTGGCGTATTTCTTCCTACATAACTGCATGAGGGTATTACAGACTGACAGGCAATTTGTTTGTTCTCTATCACCAATAGTAATCTTCTTAAACAGTTAAGTATTTCGGAAACAATTCGTTTTATGCAATACCTACGATATTATAATGGTTAGTTATTTTTATGTTTGCCTCTTGATTGATGCTGACCAAAGTATGCCTATCATCAGGTGAATGAAGTATAGCGAAAATTGTATCTTTATGAAGTGGTCACCATTAGGGAGTCGATGTAGCTGTCTGGTACTTAGTAGTCAGTACTGATCGGTTATCCTACTGGAGATTCCTCTTTTAGGTTAGTTTCAATCTGAATAGCTCAGTACTAAAGTCGCCAATTTCATCCCTGAGTTATGGCTTATGTTTAAATCACCAAGAGGGGAACAACAGCTTTCTCATGGTCGCAGATATGCCTTGTTTACTGGTGCTGACAAGCATGAAAACTAGTTCAAGTAGGGCTTTCTACCAGTTGACTCATATCACGTAATACCAAAACATATCATCAACGAATAATGTAGGTAGGTAGTTACTGGTGGCAACAGTATAACATAGGTGATCAACTATCAACCGGTTACTGTAGATTATCCGGCCTTGTAAACAGTCACTCCTGCCCTGATTAACTAGGTAGATTGAAGCTTCCCATAACCTGTGGATTTGTTCATGATTGCATCTATCTCGACAGTAGGTGCCAACAAGTACCCACTAATTGTGAGTTGCGCTCGATAGAATCATCAACAGATTTGAAAATATACACCCAACATTAATAGTTTGTGATATAAATGATTGCAGTGATTTCCTATCCTAAATGTTGCTAACTATTGTGTAAGTAAGCACTAAATTTATGCCTTATGATCTAAACACATTTCCTCCCTCGTTTTTGAGAAAATTAGGTTTTATCTGTAGTACTTTTACATTGTATTCCCTACAGTCTTTCTTTCTTTCTTTGTTAACTACGTAAATTTTCACCACCACTATTCACTGGTATAAATATTCAACTGTTAACCGTTAGGCTATGGATTCAAACCAGCTCAATTTACTAACCTGAATAATAAGTTGACCGTCATGGCGCATAGCCATAGTATATGAGTAATCACAAAGTTCTGAATCATACTATTATTTGTGATAATTTTTTCTTCAATATATCTTGTCTCTTCTTAGATACCAGTAGACCACAGCGACCAAATGAGGTTAATGGTGTGGATTATCACTTTGTCACATCGAAATCAATCATGGAAGAGGATATCAAAGAAGGCAGATATATTGAAGTGAATCGTTTTCAAGATCATTACTATGCAACGAGTTTAGAATCTGTTCGTTCTATCCTACAATCGGGTAGAATTTGTATCTTAGATGTTGAAATTGATACAGCCAAATATTTGGAGGTAGGTATTTTCTCGTCTCTCGTCGCTATATCTGATGATCTGTCGAGTTTCGTTTCCTTTAATTGCAAAGAATATCTCTTCCCGTTGTTAGATTTCAATCTGTTTCAGCCTTGGTGTCAGATATGTTGCCTTCAAGACTCCTATACCAAGTAATTTCAATAAGTTCAGCTTCCATTGGCTTTCTTCTCAATACTTGTAGTGATTACGGAATAAGCCTTTGGAAACTGATGAAATGTGATGAAGTATTCCGTTGACCAGATAGTGATGTGGAATGCCTCCTAGTAGCTGCCATTTGTCTATTTAATTATTGTTGTTGCTCGTGTTTCCATTTTTCCTTTCTTCTTCATGATCGATGACGAAATATACTCAGAAACCTTTCGCACATGTCTCCACTAGGCAATGAGCTATACCTATTGTGTGAAGGGCAGTTGTAATACCTGGCTACCCGAACCTCAACAGGTGGAGTGGGGAAGGAACCCCGCGACCCATTTGGTTGATCTTATGCATGATGCTTCGTGAGAGATGCTGAAACCGTGTGTGTCTGCGTGTGTGTGTGTGCCTACTAAAGGAAAAGTCCCTTCCATGACCATACATACTAACGGTTTTTTTCAAGGTAAAACTTCAGGCGTCCAGAAGGGAATCTATCACTTGTCCTACACCTATTCAAGAATGGTGGTTGGAGTTGATAAAAAGCTGGGTCTCAGCAATTTTCAAACCCGATGACTACTGAAATACACCTCGATGCTCTACCAAGTGAGATGCATTCCTCAACTTGTAACTGCACCCTAGTATGACTTCCATCACCGAGTATTGTTTACATCTGTCAAATTCAGTATTCATCTCCAAGTTTTAAAGACTCGCTTTTCAATGGACGTTGTATCAGTCAGGTAGTTCAATCACGCATGTATATATGAGTATGGTGTGATACAGTACTAGGGTATGTATTCTTCACTTAACCTTATGAAGTGTCAGTATATTGCTTAGAGGCTATAATAAATTGGAAAATATATATTTATCTTCGAGGGGTGTATAAATTTTAGACGACATTAGTTTCGTTGTCTTCAAATATTTTACAGTTGCCAATATGAATTCGAAAAGAAGCAATATATATCGAAGGAAATAGAAGTAAACGCATAAAAAAGATACGACAGATGAAACTAAAAGCCTAGTACATGAAACTTGTATTTGACTATCGGTCTGATTATCACTGAAGATAGTAGCGTTGGATCTTTCGAGAAATGTGAATACACGGCCTAAATGTAGCCTTGTCTACTTCAGCTTCAGTAACAAAATAGCATCATAGACTTTCTTATCCATTATTTCTCACAGTCTAGCACCTATACATGTACGGGATTAAGTTGTAATATTTTTTTAAAAGCTGTACTTGGTGTTTACTATCTCTTGAAAATTGGTAATACATTGATTAGACAGTAACCAATATAATAATGCGTTTTCGTCATGAATACTAATGGAATCCTATGGATTACGTTTGAAACTGTGGCCACCAAACTAGGAAGCTTGGCATCACACCACACTTTTAGTTGATATCATGTGACAGAGTAGGAAAATAAACAGGGTATTATGAAAATAAGATTGTAATTACGTAATGCAGGTTCCATCTATGACATAGTAGGAAAATGAATAAAGTATGAAGGAAATACATGTAGAGAATTTTGAATGAGCTCTCGAAAGGAGCTATGTGGCCTGAGTTCATGTGGTGTTCTGTTATCGAACTGAAGATGCATTTCCGTTCTCCCTTTGCAAACTAGGCTGGATAGTGTTCTCGGACACGTTTTACAATCGGACGCATGGTACGGCCGATGTACTCAGCTCTACAAGAGCAAGTAAACTGGTATACACACATTGATATGGCCTAATGCGTCGGCCTATCTTTCACAAATTGACCGAAAAGTTTCTTGCAGGAGAAAATTATCCGAAGGTTGGCGGTGAAGTATGTTCTGTTTATGGATTTTGACAGTAGGAGAACGGAAATGCATCTTCAGTTTGATAACAGAACACCTCATGAACTCAGGCCACTTAGCTCCTTTCAAGAGCTCATTCAAAATTCTCTACAGGGTTCGATCAAACCACTCGAAGGGAGTAAAACTAAGGCATCTGTCCATAGCTGAAGCACTAGCCATCCAGAAGTTCAAGCCAGCGTTATACGTGCAAAAAGGTACGTCCAACCTTTATCTTTGCCATGGCCATCATAAAGCCCTGTCTGCCACAGATTCATTTTGTTTCAGGTAACTACACATGATATCATGTGGTTGCAGCAGATCGACTAAAAGCCTTATTTATCCAGGGTTCGAGGAAGGTGATGCCTTTTCAGAGATCCGAACGTGTATTGCCCAGTGCATTGCGTCGATACTGATTGCCTCCAACCATCTAACGTCGAAGATCACAATGCATAAGTGAGACTCCATCTTATTGGAGTCATCCTTAGTGATAACTTAGTTGCCTTTAAACAATATTTCATTTGTTGTAGTCAGTATCCCTAGAAACTTTTCAAATTAAAGTAATAAAGTGTCGAAATTTTACCTTATCTATAAAATTAAAACTTTTCTGCTTTTTTCTATTCAAAGGAAATTGGTCTGTTCCCTATTACCATACTTATGAAACCTAGGTCTCTTGCCCACTTACGGGCGTTACAACGCCGGTTAACTGAAGACCAAGCCAAACGATCAATGGAGCAGATAGAGCGTATTGAAGATGAAAATTGGCGATTCCTTTCAGGTGAGATAGGAAGTCTTATCTATACGCTTTCTCTCATCTCTAATTAGTTGTTTTTCAGCTATGATATCCAGGGTCTTCAGTGACCATTCACTAACATCTAAACGGCTACAATAAAGTCGCCTCTACCATCCTATAATTTCCCCTTCATTCTAATGTTTCGGCATCCATCACTATGGGTTGATAACTGTTTCAAGAGCCTCATTCATCTAAGGTGTACCGCTTAATCGACTAATTCAGGCTTATTGACTAGCGCTCTACACCTAGTATCGTCATTACTTATCCTGGGAATTCTCTACATCAAGATCACATATGGGACCAGCCATTACTGCGTTACGGTCTAAGTTGTCACACTTCAGATCAGCACATCATGTAACAAGACAATAAAATGGAAAATGTAGAGTGTCGAACCATTGGTTTCTCTTGTCCCATGAACCCCAATCAGCTAGTCTGCATCATGCTTGATGGTTGAAACGAACAGTGAATGACTTGATGCATTGATGTTATGTTTAGTGTGACTAGCCGTAGGCATTTTTGAGTGTGAGCGTACTTGGATGAATATAGTGGGATGATGTAGACTGTGGTTGGGCATTTGTAATACATGTTGCATCGATCTCAGTCGATGAAGATTCACAGCAGAAGCAGCAGCAGCAGCATCTAATTTAACGCTCCTCTCTAAAACTTTATATCTAACTTCTGGGTTACTCACGTGGTGACACCATGAAACACAGACTATGTTACGAAGGCATAAAGGATAAACACTTGAAACCTTCTCATGTCTTCCACCTCCAATGGCCATGTTTCACAGTCATAGAGTAGAAGAGAGCAGACTACAACACAGTACACCCAACCCTTAATAGACAGTTGGATATCACGATGGCGACACGCATAGCGTAAGAAGACAAAGTTCAACCGAGTTACCTTTTGTATCACTGAGCCAGCCACCATGGCTGATCCGACTTTTCAGATTAGTGAAGTGTTCAACGTGCTCAACCACTTCACTTTCCATTGTTAGCCAGAGTACCGTTAAATACCAGTCTGCATCGTGTCAGTGTCTTCACCTAACACGACTATGTTATCTGTGTATCCTATGTGTCCGAAAATTCTCCCATAATTAAGTTAATTCCTGTGTAGTCAGTTGACGAGAAAGTCTGTGATAAAGTTGAATAAGAATGGAGAGAGTAGCCATCCTCGACAGACACCACTCAATGTACACAACTCACCCGACATCTCACCATAGGTTGTAGCACATTCACAGGTGTTCGAGTAAAGAATCTTCGATCGGGTGATGTACTTACTTGGTACGCCAGTCAGTGAGAGACATTACCATGGGAGATTTCAATCGAGGGAGTTGAATGTCACTTTCAAGTCGAGAAATACAGCATTTGTCGGGTGTCGATAAGCGTACCTGTGTTCTAGAACCTGGTGGTGGAGTGTGAATATTTGTTAGATAAAGCCACGGCCAGATCTGAAGCTTGCCTGGTATTCTCGAGCTTGCTGTTCTCTAGTATACCTCTGCTCCAAAGTGACTGATTTCGAAGCCATATCACCAAGAATTTTAAACCCACTATATCTAGGACCCGCCAGTCAAGTATTTACCTCTGTGCACAACTATGATCTATAGTGTTAATCTTCATCGAATGGGCAGTTTTGAAAGTAACCAATTTCATGTTGTCTAGTCGTAAACGCTGAATAAGTTGTATCGATCAGTTTCCAAGCTTGGAGACTGATCGTTGCGATACCAGTGTCGAGGATCTTAGATAGTGGGAGTCGTTAGTCAATAAGACCTGCATGACCTAACTGCCCTGGCTTGTTGACACCAGTCAGTCAGTAAAGCGTATCTGTAACCTTGAGGAACTGGTATCACCTGAGACAGTCGAACGTGGTTGAGCCACTGGTATAGTCATAGATGCTAGTACTGAACAAAGACTAGGTCTTATCACTCTTAACTTTCTGCCATGTTCAGCTACTATGCATGTCTAGGTAGACAGCGATTCACCAACTCATGATAAAACCATTTTAATTAGTAATGAAATTTTACAATATCATTGGATAACTTGTTTTCCATTCCGTACACTCCACATGGAGCTTCAAAAAAGAAAAGGTTCTATTGCACACATGAGTCCTGAGAAGACATTTATAATGAAGAATGTGTAGTGATATTATTGGCTCTCACACAATGTGTGTATGTGCATGCTCTTCTCAATGTCCACATATCTGGTGAGTTATTTTTCCATTTCCATTTCTGACTAGTTTGAAGATGAATATTTGATGCGTGACACCTGCTGAGATCATCTTGATGAGAAGTAAGCCTGTTTCAGAAGTTTAATAACGGAGTGCTGATTTATATATATATATATATATATATATATATATATATATATATATATATATATATATATATATATATATATATATATAGACTTACACGTGAGCATACCTTATATCAATTTTCTATACCTTACTCCATTATTTTTCTTGGCAAGGTGTATATATGTTATAAAACAAGGTCAGGTTTACGCAAGTATATTGATTATTTCACAACCAATCAATAAATATAATGAAGAACTATTTTTTAGAGTGCGTCTAAAAAAAGAAAAAAAAAGTTTTGAATTAAAGACCCAATTAAATTTCACATTCACATGATGTTATCCACGAGTAGTACCATTCAAGAATTTGTGTATAATATGTGTATGTTTATTTGTTTCATTTGATATGGTTATTGTTTTTATCATTTATTGACTTGATTAGACGAAGGTTTTGTGAGTAGTTTGATTTGAGTAGAGACTATTGTAAGTTATCTAAGTGTCAACTAGGGTAAAACAACTCTCCAATACCACTTTGTTTGTTTGTTTTTAATAGCTTCATAGTTCTGTGATAAATAGTCATCTTTACCCTATTCATATTGGAAATATATGACAATAGGAAGTTTTTTTTTTGTTGTTAAGGGAATGAATCAAATTTTCCAAGAGATAATATAGATTGTATCCATTCTCAATGGTATCACAACATTCACTAACATCTTAAAACACTAATTTGGGGTTGACTGTTTCATATTACTGTAGTAGATTGTAATCCAACGGTAAATTCTTTTTGTTTGACATGTAACACGGAGTGATACAGTATTATTAGTCATAATAATAATAGTGTAACAGAACTTCCTGACTCTTTTCTCATAGTTTCTACTGCCTTTTGCTTTCAGTCCATATCTCTTAGATCAGTGTTGAATCGATGAACAGAGATTCAATGATCACCAATAAGAATAATAATTCATAGAGAAAATACTTGGTTAATACACTGTATGCAGGGTGTTAATCACACAACAGAAAAATAATCCTAATGAGTAGTTTAGTTTAATGGAGACAGAGAACCTTTGTGAAGACCGGATATGTACAACAGAGAAATGAAGAACTACTCATTCCGGATAGACAGAAAATCCTATTACCAATGAAATTATGGAATGATATATACCAGAACTAAACAACTCAGGCATTGGAAGTTTGTTGATCATATTCCCCATGATTATAGTGAAATGTTATCCAGTGAATAATACTGGAAGAACAAGATATTCAACGAATAGATTCTTTTCAATGAATTTATTTTCAACCTATGCATTCGTATATCAATCAGGTTTGAAAAATTATAACCTGTAAGGAGAACCAAACACTATCTGATGATGATGATGACTGCAATAATAAAACGGATGATGACACAGGTATTTGTGATTATGATAACAAGACTTCAGTTGAGTTTTACTAGCTCTAAACTATTCTCCGTTGTGTTCAAGGTAACCTTCCTCGTTTCACTGCATCTATTTGCATCTATCAGTTCACCTACTCTTGTCGAGCAACGGGGTACATCGGTCGTAGCTACAGAATGATTTCTACACACATATACGACATACATGTTCCTACTTAGCTTTATAAAAGTCAAAGAAAGTCTGTTAGAAGTCCTATTCTACAACATTTCATTGATTTCCATCACTTAACAAACCAACACAAATCTTTATCAAATCACCTAAACCTTCCACTTTTTTCTTCATTTCCAACTGCTTAAACTAGTGGAGGCTTTACCTATTCATGAACTTAAACCTGATCTGTGTGTATAAAAGCAGTATGTACAGTAGTCACAAGTTTTACCATGGCGATAACATTCTCCCTAACCCCCATTAGTATCACCTCCACCATAGTTAATCTAACCTTTGTATCCTTTCTTTACCACTACTATTGTTATTAAAATTACCTTTACTCCGATTAATTTCCAATATTATTACACTTAATTATCTAAACCTTATTAGAAAACATTGAAATCATTTTGATCTACTACACAATACTCGGTTGATTTACCGCTTAGTGGTTGAGACAATCAGCGGGAAGCCTAGGACCTAAGTTTCGTGCTTATTGCAACGCGTCAGCAAGGCGTATTTAGAATAGGCCAGGTAATTACCCAGATAAAGATGATTACTTTTTGATAGTATTCTGTTCACTAAACTGGATGGAGCAACAACTAGCTAAATACTTCAGTCACTCACTGAAGACAGTAATAGTGGAAGTGCAAATTTCCAGCCCCAATCTGTGCTTCACACTTCATTGTAGCTATTCTTCATGGCTAGTATATCCACATGATCTGCGAATTCACTGTCTTTTATGACAACCTAAGCATATTACTTCACTGATCACATGTATTCTTCGACCTCAGAATACGCCAGCTAATTACACAGATAAAGATGATTATTTTTGATGGTTTCTGTCCACTAAACTCGATGGCTTCATCGTGAAGCTAGCTTTCAGTGACATTCTACACAACATCATCAGCACACCAAACTTCGCTTGGTGTTCTTCGAGTTTTCAGCTCTCTTCTCGGACTTTGCATCACAAGGCTAGGCGAATTCGTCAGCACTCACTTCACATAGAAGTGAAGCATTTTCAGGTTGCATGATTGTTCATACAAAGGGAATTTGCCAACTTTGTACGTTATTACCTTCTGGGTATTGGTCACCTGTC